GAAAATATCAATACTATGACCCGCAATATTCAAGAACAAGTGAACGACTTAACTCGAAATTTGCATTCGCAAATAGAGAATTCATTGCGACCGGCGCTCGCGCAAGTCCAAGAAACAATTGAGAATCTACCAAGAGGTAATCGATTACAGAATATTTTGCAACGTTGAACTGGCGTTCATTTAATTTAGGAACCACGTCCAGAACATTAATATGTAGTAAAAATTGAACAGTCACACATTTAATAGCGTACGTGATGCGTAATTCAATTTTGTAATAAAAAAGAGCTAAGAGAACTTAAAAAATAATCAAATTTTTACACTATTTATGTAATTAATAAATATAAGAGAAATTATGACGATATATCCGTATGCACATTGAAACGTATCACGAACTTAAACATATGACTTCTTCAATTTGCATCTACTTTTTTATAGTCATTAATACACTTTATGCTTAATTTAATATTATTTAATATTTAATTTGACGCTTTATGCTTAATTTAATATTATTTCATCTAATATTTTTTCGAGCATCTGAGTCAATATTTGCGATTTGATTGCAGTTATTTTTCTATCGTTTCCTGGAAAATCCCGAAGCATCGATATCTTAATGTAATATTTAAAAACATTCGGTTTCGTTTCTGTTTCGCACGCGCAAAGGTCGATACATTTGCATAACAGTTCGCGCTTAGCGATATTCTTTATCGTAGCAAAAGATAGAGAAACGGAGATTCCAAAATCGCATCTTGTTCGCCGCGCAGTCGATGTTCCTTTCACTATCGGCTGTGATACGAAGCAAACACTCTCGGCATTCTCTGCCGAGTCTCAAGGCGGCCGGTATCCATATATTTTCCATTCAATCCTGCCCATTAATTCGCAACTGACGTTTAATTCTGCGCGGAACGATTATCTATGCAATTAGCACGCGTATAGCTATACCTATATGCGTATCAAATTGATTGAGTAGCGTTATCGCGGGCGATTAGTATCGATAAGAAAATTTAATCGCCATAATATCCGCTTGGAATCAAGCACCGACGATAATTGATGATATTGTAATTTCTAAAGCAATTAGTCAGAAATTATGCAAATCGTCGTAGAGCTGCACTTGCTGGCTCAAACAAAATTCTATTGTAATATTATACTATTGCTGATTTTGGGATTGAACTGTATGCCAAATGGTACCCTATAATGAGACATTAATTGATTAATCATAGAGAAGTTTCAAGTTGAGATGACAATTGTTATTAGAGTTGGAAGGGGGAGTGAGGTGGAATCAAAGTTTATTACAATGTTCGACATGTTAAAAGTTTCCTGCAAAAGGAGAGTGTTTTTCTGTAGATTTACTACATGAAAACGATGCTGAAAACGATGCTGAAAACGATGCTACCCTCAGAATTTGTCTATCACGTCATATTTTTAGAAAAATTCCCTTAAAAACGCTTTTTTTGCTATTTTTGAAAAAGCTGACGAACCTGATGCAAGTAAATAGTTTCATAATAATGGAAATACTTGGACTCGAGTACAACTTTTAAGCTTTCATTTTAAGATTTTTTCAAAGTTTCTAGCACATCAGGTTTGTCCGCTGCAATTTTTCAAAAATTGCGGAAAATCGTTTTTTAAGGGATTTAACTCTATTTTTTTTTCAAAAATGTCACATGATAAACAAATTCTGAAGACAGCATCGTTTTCAGCGTCCCAAATCTATGAGAAACCATTCTTTTTGCACGAAACTTTTAGCATGTCGAGCAGTGTAATAAATTTTGACTCCATCTTCCTTCCCCCTCTAGCTCTGATAACAATCGTCACCTCAACTTGAAACTTCTCTGTGATCAATGTCTCATTATAAAGTACCATTTGGCACACAGTTTAGTCTCACAATCAAGAGCTCAAAAATCGGACGATTTTTAGCGTCACTCTTTGCTTGAAATAATCTAGCTCTCTCTTCATATAAATTATCAAATTTCTTTCAATGATTACAGATTGACTGATTATAATACAACTAATTGTAATGAAAAAGAAAAATTAACAACGGAAATTTATTTGCAGATGCACAAGGACGTATAATAACAACTAACGGCAACATCATAAGTATCAACACTATAAATAGTCTGTCAAGAACGGCCACGTCCGGTCATACACCAAACGGAGAATCGTACGTGCGCGTTATCGATGAGCAAAACGATGGGAAATATCTTTATCACAACGAGATCACTTACAATTTAAAAACTAACGCTGCCGAGAACTTTTGTTGGAAACTGGACCTCACAACTCCAGGCGCCAAGCCAGAAATTATTCTCACGGACGAAAAGTGAAACGATACGTTCTTATTTCTCACGTCACGGTATATAATTGGTATAAATTGATCTAAATTCATAAATTCACTGATTAAACAGAAAAATGAGAAAATAAAGTTACTGCAACACCGTGAGGTCTTCGTAAATAATAAAATAAATAATAAGAGAAATTGTGAATCACGATTTGTAAAAGCAGAATGTTGCTGAAATTTTATCCATTCACAATGTCGGAAAAAAATATGTTTTCTTCGCTCTCTTGGTGTTAAGAAGATATAATTACGTCGAAATATATTTGATAAGCGATGTTGCAACAGGCACCTATTGATATATATCTAGATACAGGTTTTGTGTGGAAAAAGTATTTAATTACAGGTATACATATATTTTTAAAAAATTATCTAGGAATAGATACAGATACAGTAAAGAAGTACACGAAAAATTTAGTTACTTTTTAGGTACTTCTTAAAAAAAAAAGAAATCAAACTGTACAAAAGAATTTTATTTCATTTCGAATTACTAATTATGTGGTATACTTATAATAACGTATTAATTATATTATATTTATAAAATAAAATCTTTAGATAATTGCCATGTTTCTTTTAAAATTAATAATATTTTACATAAAAAATATATAAAATAAAATATATGTAGTATTTATGAAATAATTACATGTTTGGATAATTGTTTGGTTTTTTTTTAATTAATAATGTTCCAAACACATTGTGTCAAAAAGTCGATTTCTTCGGAGGGTTATATGTTAAGAAGAAATAAACTTTCTTCATGACGAAATTGATGTAAATGTATATCGATTTTGGTTTGATAATAAAAATGCATGATAAACTGTATAAAATTGTCATTGATTAATAGCCCGGATAGAATGACACAATATATAGCTGTAATAATTTTCCCCGAACGCTGCATTTATCGCTGAATTTATTGTCGAATGACGTAGGAAATATTAACAAGTTTCATAAAGTGTAAAAAAAAAATACAGCGCGGATATGTATACATATATATTTTGAGGTAAATTGTTACCGCTTGTAACAATAAGATTGGCATACTATAAAAAACTCTCACCAATCCAAATTAATTATCGATATTGTAGGAATATTCCAAGATATAATAATTACAATAATGATCAGAAAGTAAGTCATCATAAAAGTATACTTTATTGGAAATTGTCCTGTATCACACATCGCTCATTGGAGTTCTGTTGTTCTCATCGATATATTATAAAGACATTTGATCTATATTATATAAAAATCTATATTATATAAAAATATTTTAAAACAATTTATCGTTTTTCTCGAAAAAGTATGTCTTGCACTAAAAAATATACAGCATTGCAAGTGTAAAGATATTTCTCGAGAATCGTTAATTGCCGTACGTCAATATCCGAAGGTCCGCATTAATTTTAAGCACTATTAATTTTTATTACAAGAAGCTATCTACATGTAAGGGAAGAGAGGACAAATAGTGACGGATTTTTTCCTCTCTCTCCTACAAGCTAATTTCAAATTTATAAGATATGATTTTTCACTAAAAGAGTACTTTCGACTTTCAAATATACAAAAAACTTATTTAGAGTTTCCATAAGTCATGTATACGGGCTAGATTTTCATAAAAACTAAAACCTACATTTGTTACTGTTTGTCCCATCCTATGGGACAATTACAAAATACAATACATAATTCTTAACTCCTAATCGATCTTTTTTTTGACATTTTGATTAGATATGGTAATTTATATTAATTTCAATACTCTGCCATATGTAAATTTTTATTTATAAATAAATAATAGTGCTAAATGATAAATAATAGTAGT